GAGTTCTCTTCCACTGTTCCTTTCTCCTCTGAGAAACCTCAGGGATGGCCTCTGGCACTTGCAATGCAGCTTCAGCTCAGACAGTTCTCTGGATCTAAGTTGGGAGGAGGCCTGGGGAAAGAAGCTAGTCAGCAGTGAGGCACCTACAAACCACCCAGGGGAAAGGTTTCACCAGAAGGGAAAATCCTCACATTTCTGAGGTTGCTAACTTCCTTGAGGACAGGCAAATCTGTCCAGAGCAGTGGGCCAGAAAGCCGAAGGCAGACAGCCAAGTTGGTTTAGCAGGCTCACGTCATCTCTCACCACAGCACGGCTCTCCTCCACAGAACTCAACCTGCTGGGCAGGACCTAAGCCCCCCTAATCCCCCAGCAGACCACTCTCCTGAAATTTACGGTTTCTACTTGTAGTCTGGGAGTAAATATGATTTGGAAGTATCTGATATCCTTGGCCTACTTGTAATACAGAACTTGGCAGTCTTAGCCAGAGAATGAAATATGGAAAGAATGGCAAATTCATTTGAAGAAAATTTGTAATGATTTTTAAGGTTCAGCATAGTCAGGATGCATATTATTTGTTCCTTAACTATGACCGTATAAGAAGCTACCCCAAAACTTAGTGGTGTAAAACAACTATCTGATTATATTTTACAATTCAGATGGAACTCAGCTGGAAAAGTCTTTTGTCCTAGGTGGCATGGACAGAATTATGTCACCCTATGACATTTAGCCCATAGATGGCCTGGCCTGAGGGCTGAAGATGGCTGCTCTCAGATCTCTGGTCAGAAGGCTGGGCTTACTTGAGACTATCACCTGAGCATCCACTGTTCAGCATGGCAACCTCAAGGTAATCATTTCATGTGATGCCTCAGAGCTCCAAGAGAGGAGTGGTCCAGAGAAAAAAGCTGGAACCTGCTTATGTTTTTAGGATCAAGCCTTGGATATCACCTAGTATCATCTCTGATGCACTCTCTTGGTTGAAGCAGTCACAAGTGCACCCAGTTTCAGAAACAGGGGACACAAATCCTACCTTTCAATGAGGGAGTCTCAAAAGCTGCCACATATGTGTGTATGTATCTTTGAGTATGGAATGATGTAACTACACCTATGCATGCAGTTAATCCTGAGCTCCCCGCAAACTTTGGTTCTCAGAGAGTTGTGTGGTTTAAGAGGAGGAAGAAATTCCATCCCTTTGGGGCCTTAGAGGTCTCATGGATGAAGTACGGCATCCAAGGCAGGCCCTGGAAGATGAAATTGTATCACAGATGGAGATGAAGGACTGTCTGTGCGTAAGGGATCACATGAGCAGAGACATGGGGAGAACTGGAGTGTGTGCTGTAGGATGAGATGGCCTCGGGAACAAAGGGGTCCCTCAACAGAGCAAATAGACAACAATCAAGATTAGAGAGAGAAAGGGTTATAGAGCACCTGCAGAGGACACTGCAGGGTGGGGACTTGGGATGATCTGTAGGCAAAAGGAAACGGGCCAGTAGAGATTTGTGTTTATTTATTTGCAGTTTTTGGCCAGAGCCGGGTTTGAACCTGCCACCTCTGGTATAGGGAGCTGGCGCCCTACTCCTTTGAGCCACAGACACCACCAGAGAGATTCGTGTTCTAAAAGAGTAGGGCACTCGCTGATAGGGCGAGGGCTCCCAGCAGGCTAAGTCATGGAGAATGGCAGGTTAGTAACTTTACCTTGAAAATAAGGACATGTATGTTTTTCCTCGGGGTAAGAGCAAAGAAAAGAAATAGAGAATGACGATATTATGAAGTACAGAGAAGTAAATGGAGGGAAGACTTCAATCTTCTGAGTGACATAGGAGGTGAGATTATTAAAATGAAAAATCACTGATGCATATGTTAGACATTTCATGAAAATACAAAATGTGAACTTTAAAAAGAATTTCTGGCTAGGTATGGTAATAAATAATCATACTGGCTGGG